TGTTTCTACAGATGTATATCCTGACGTTACCAAAAAGGAAATGTAATAACCATTCTTTGGGGGTAAAAAGCCCAAGCATTCATTTTCTTTTACTTTTAATAGAGGACTGTTACTGGTGTTAAATACATTTATTGTAAACTTTAGACACAAAAATAGGTTCTCTAGGCCATTCACATGCACATTAAAACCAAAACGCTGCAAACTACAACAATGCATATAATTATACAAATGATGCCACTCTGACGTTTACAGGTCTGCTGTCCATGCAAGGTTATCAGAGGCATTATCTATGAAGCCTTAAGATCCAGAAGTGTTGTTACTACCAAACCTCTGATTAACACTGTGAAGTAAGTGTTTTGGAAGGCAGTTCCATGAGTTGGCTAACATTTCTTTAAAGCAAATGACTGCTTCTAAGCTTAGCCTGAAAGTAGACAAGGAAAGAGAAAAATAGTTTCACTTTACTATTTAGAAGTATTCACTTGAAATACAAAAAAAAAAAAAAAAAACCAAAAAAACTGTCTTTAAAGATTTTCATAGGAACTGGTCAGTTATATCAATGAAGACTCATTATTGCCCTTAAGTTTCAAGAAACACAATGTAAAATAATCCAAGTGCCAAGTAAATAGTTACGCACCGTACAAGAGATTTTGGTTGAACTGAAAATATAAGTATTTCATTACTGTGTGCCTGAAAAACAGATATGAAGAGTACATTAAAAAGTGCTTCACAAACCAGTTTCAGTAATAATATGAAGTGGTATACTTACAGCTCTGTGATGGACAAGCAGATTGTTGGCACACCCACCAAAAACAATTACTTCTCCTTCATCACTGGCACAAGCTGTATGCCATAACCTGCATTTAAAACAAAAACTTGAGTTTGAAGTCACCCAAACAACCAAACTGATCATGTACACTACAGAATAGAGCTCATTAAAGACTAGAGATCTTAAGGTAGTTCAGACCAAAACATCATGGTGGTAAGTAAAATCTTAAGGGAAAGTAGCAAAAGCTTTTAAAAAAAACAAAACAAAAAAAACAAAGTCTGTTTTATCTGGATATTTTTTCTCTCTGGTCTGGTCCTCATTTATGCAATGAGGGGATTGAACTTAATGATCTGTTCTCTACGTCTTTGTTAGCAATAAAAATCTTATGGGAGCTGAGTAGTATATGCCCTCTCCTTCTTTGATAGACGCAATGGCCTTGTACATAACATGTGAGGGATGCTGATGCTGAAAGCCTGGTAATTCTATGGAAAGATATTTGTGCAAATGAAATCTTAAGTGGCATGACTACTTGGGATAGAGGCTTGGGGAAAAAAATAGAGGCTGCCCTATGTGCTTTGAACACCAATTTTAACTATATTATTTCCTTTAGCAATTCTTTTTTAAGATTAACGAGAAATAACTGTCAATGTTTAAGCTCTTTTGAATGATTCTACTTCTTAATTTTTGTTAGATAATCTGATCAACAGTTCTTGATCTGTTTTTTTTTTCCATGTATATTCTTTTAGGTTTTAAAATTCCTTTCCAGTCTTTCCCCCCAACCCCACCCCTTTTTAATGACAAACATAGATGCAGTTCATCTTACTCAGGTAAAAAGCTTGATTATAAATTTTAACTATATCAATAATTTCATGATAATGGAAGGAAGAAGCAAAAACAAAAATCCAGCCCTATTCTTCATATGTAGATGATGGAAAAGAAAGTATTTGATACTAGGATAACATTTCCTTGAGAAGTATGATGTCAAACCTCAGCAAATGCTAAGATTTTTATAAATAAGAATGGTGATATAATGCAGCCAGAACTTCAGTTCTTACCAGTCTTACACATATTCAGTATAAGAATTACCTTTTAAATAGTTCATACCTTGGTTTTTCAGAATAGGGATGGTTAAACTGTATCCATTCATTTTTACTGATGCAGTAAGTCCAGGCATCACCTGATTGAAACAAAGAAAAAAGAGCTATGAAGTAAGTTATTCTGTTAATATGACATTGACACTTAAAGGGCACAGCTTTAACAAGTAAAATAATACATCGGATCATGAGTACATAAAGTATATTTCCTTTTTTTTTCTCTGCAGTTAACCAAGTAAGCCCTTTGCATGTTATAGCCCTTTAGTTTTTTTTAAGTACTGCAGGTCATTTCTTTACTGAGCATAATGGAAGTATGTCATACTATCTACAATTATAGGTATGTTATATGATCAAGATTAATATCAAACCTTCCGACCAACCCCATAAGCCCTCTCATATATCTATAATAGAACGATTTCCAGCTATTTATTCTATATAGATGATATATAATGATTTCCTTATTGTATTTTTAAGGGACTTACTTAGAGGCTGTTTATCAGTGGTAAATCCTCCAAAGAGAAAAAGATGATCTGAAGAAACTGGTGTTAGTGAGTGCCAAGATCGGCCAACTGGGCATATGCCTTGTGGAATTCTGAAAATAATAGCTAAGTTACAATATCTGTGATTAAAATCAGTACTGTATGTAATATAGAAAAACTGAAGTTTTCTTTTAAAATTTATATGGAATTATGAAAAAAGGCTTTAAAGACTTTAACTGTGTTCTTTATACTGTTTTCTTTGACAGCACAGTCAATTTTAGACCTTTTTGCAACAAATATTGAGCATATGCCATGTGCCAGGGACACAGTTAAGGGAACTGAAAACAAAATTTCTTAAGGACCTAGTAATCATGCTTATTTATATTCATAGTTACAGAAAAGTTAAGCCAAGTATATTATATACAGATAATAGGGAAAAGGGTAAAAATTGGGAAAACTGTTCTAAATAACCTAAAGTGATACCTACAATTCATTCCACTCCCATGTATCCAGATTAAGATAGTGAAGATCATTCATTCTAGCATCCTAAAAAAAAGGATAATTGAATCATTATTTTGAAGAATTCAAAAGCAAGTCATTGAAACCGTTTATGTACTCACTCGATATCTGCCTCCAAACACAAAGCCTTTGTTTCCAACAGTTGCACAGGCATGGGCAGCGCGAGGTGAAGGTGCTTTACCCTATTAAAAAGTTATACAAGCAACTTAGTAAAGGAGTGAGCTTTTTATAAATGGAGGGAAAATATCAGTCTTCTCTGGATATGGGATAAGAATATGCAAGATACTTGAGCTTTTAAAAGCTGAAGTGCAGACTTTGAGTCAGCAGTACTGAAAGCTGACTACCAAACTGGGGATTTAATTTTATATTTTTGAGATGTGTTACTAAATAGGCTGGTTAATATAACAGAGAGGTTGCTTTATTTTTTAATCTTTTAAAATAAAGATCAGCACATTTTATAGTATCCGGGAAAAGAAATGTAATATTTAAGTAATAGATATTCCAGTGTAGTGCTAGGTTAATTACGGGTTGAGTATCCCCACTCTTCAATCTGAAACTTTTTGAGCACCTGCATGACACTCAAAGGAAATGCTTGTTGGAGCATTTTGGATTTCAGATCTTTGGATTAAGGATGGTCAGCTGGTAAGTACATAATGCAAATATTCCAAAATCTGAAACACTTCTAATCCCAAACATTTCTGATAAGGGATACTCAACCTGTATGAGCAATAGCAGCTACCACTTAACATCTATTAGATAATAGATGCTGGGTTAGTCCCTTCATGTATTCCTTAAACTTCTGATTTCCAGATTCTTTGGAGAACAATGAAAGCTATGGATCTTCTCTTTCCAGAAAACAAGAATAAGCTGTCAGATTTATAACACCTCCCAACTCTGGTATATCCCCCTCCTCCTCTAAGTGGCCTTGCTTTAATAATTCATTGTTCTTCAGTAACTCACAGTAGTTATAGGCTGGCTCCAGATGAATATTTCAGTGTCTAAAATATGTACATGGTCATTCCATCCTCTTGGATGACTTGAATTCTACAGAAAATAAGAATCTGAATTATTTTACAAGTAATGTTTGTAAAATTCTATAGCCCCTGATTTATTAACAAGGAAAAATGAACAAAACTACTTGCAACTGTAAAATATATTTCAACATAGGCCATATGCAAATATGAAAACTTCACTTACCCAAAAAGATGTTTCATCAAATTCAAAAGTTCCCAATACTTTATCTTCAGGTAAATATCCATATCCTCCAAAAAATATTAACCTGTTTGATAAAAAACAATATATTAAAAATTCAAACATCCAGAAGATAAGACAAAAAGAAAAATCCCTTGTATCCTATCACATTAACTACTATGTGAGTTATATTTAACTCATGCTAGTTTTGAGCCTGGGGCCTAGTGAAGTGTATATAACTCACACATCTCTTTACTTTGGGAGCCATGTGAACTATTTTTCAAGTTGCATATAACTCATGCCCAGAAAACAATAAAAAATAAATTTTTTTAAATTAGAAAGGATTGTTTTGTTTTTGAAGTTTTTATTCTGTTTTCATAGTAAAATGCCATGGTCCCAAGGAAAAATATTTTTTTCCTAGTGTGGAAATCAATGTGTTATGTATGAATAAAGAAGAAGGTACACTTGAGTATATGAAAATACTTTTTCAAATGAAAATGGCTAACACTTAACTATGTCTTAAGTGTTATGTTAAATGCTTTCATGTATTAATTCACTTAATCTTCATATGGGCCTATGAGGTATGTTCTATGCTTATTGGCTGAGGACACCTAAATGGTAAACACTTTCCACATAAATAACCCAAACCTATAGTTCTACTAACTTACTTGTTTTTATATACCCAGACACCAAGTTTGTCCTTTGATGATGGAGGAATTCCCTGGCAATCAATTCTTTCCCACTGTAACACTCTGTCTGTAGACCTTGAATCCAGCATGTAGAACTGTCAGAAGCAATGATTTTGGTTAGACTTGGTAATGTGAAAGAAATTCAACTTTAGCATTTAATTTTACTGTGATTTGTGATAATAAGAATGCCATCTAAAACATCTAATGCTACTGAAATTGTGACTGCAGAGTGGCTGCCAGACTGGTCTGTGTCTAGATTAGGAACTTGTGACAGAATATAAATTTCCTAAGTCACTAAGCGCACTGTTGGTTCAGCTGGGTTTTTTTCCCCATAGCCACACCTTTTTTTTAAAATCTAGATCATTTATTGAATGTCTACAGAGCAATTAATTATGAAAATATCCAAATATATACAAAAGTATACTTAGAATATTAGTCATAACATTATATGTTTGAAATTTTTCATGATATGGCAAAAAATAGGGTTTGGGAATAGCGGAAGTAAGTATGGCAAACATAGCCACACCTCTTTGATGAAGGAATCGCAGTGCATTCATTTACATTGTACAAGCTTTTTATCTTGCCTTAAGTAGGCACTCTGAGTTGTACTGATCTAATTTATGGGGTATTAAGACGGTTTTACCAAAGATGTCAGGTTTAGCAATTTTACCTTCAAATTCAATTTAACAGATCCATCTTCAGTGCCTATTTAATTCTAGGAGCTAAGGATCAATACTTGAAAGATTAAAAACTGGTTTATCCTTCAAAGGATGAATATATCTGCCATTTTATAGATATATATATATATAAATAGTTTTTATTTCTCTACAACACTCAAGCTTCCTTTCTGTCAAATTTAAAACACTCAATCCCATTTGACATACTAATCAACTTTGATTTCTGTGACTCCCCCCCTAAAACCTCAGCTTCTCTCCTTCCCAACCTTCCTCAAGTTGCAAAGTTATTTTTCCCCCCTTGGCTTTGAAAAATACATAGCTCAACTAAAGCCTGTAGATGAGATCTGCCTCACAAAATATTTTAGGCAAAGAACCCTTTCTTCAAGCAAAATATTAATCAAAAGCCCAATATATAAAAACAAAACTGGAGCTACAATTATTAAAATGGAGGAGGGAAGGGCAGCCCGGAGCCCACTTAATACCATATGCTCTTCCCACAAGTGCCCCAAGGCATCTCAAATCCTTAGAGTTTCTAGGAGCATAGTTTGAAACCATCTTAGCCATATGTATAAAACCTATAAATCACTTGGCATTTCCATAAACGAGACATATTTTGCTTGTATCTCTGCATCTTGGCTACCCCTTCCATTTTTATTCAATTCAAGCATTGCCTACTAAACACAATGTCAAGGACTCCTGCAAATTCAGTGATATTTGCTAAGTTCTATGTGCCAGGCTCTGTGTCTCAGAAGCTATTGCATGGTTTACTTACTATATATGTCCCTGCCAGAACATGAGCTCCTAGAGGCGGAGACTATTATAGTTTGTTCATCTCTGTGTCTAAAGTGTTTGACCAAGTGCTCAGCATACAAGGTGCTTACTACGTTGCCAAATAAATGAATTGATAATCGTCTACCTATATATCATATGCACCTTTCTGACTGACTGTATCTGTCTCTTACTGACCTGAAAGAGCGTAAGTAGCAACTTTTCCTATTTGGAAATAAATATGGACCAAGTCTGAACAGCAGTGTCTTAGGGCACCATAATATTGGAATGTCAATATGTAAAATTTTGTCTGTCAGTGTTAATTTATCTAACGCTTAGGGGTTCTCAGACAACAATTAGCTATAAAGAGCACAAACAAAAACAACCTAGTAAGTTACTCTACACAAGTTACCAACATAACTTGATTTTACAAAAGGCCTAGGTAAACACAGACTGGTAGACACAACAGTAAAACGCACATTCATAGGATAATCTTAACTGGGACAGAAATAAGTATAGGGCTAACCTTAGAAATCTGAGGGTTGAAAGAGAATAAAATTGACTTGAACCATAGTCCTTGGAAACACTAACCTTATTTGTATTGCCTCTTGAGTGGTGTCCCCCAAACAAGTACAGCACTCTATCTACACACACAGCACAGCTTCCTGACATAGAAGGAGGAACATCACCTTCAGTGTTAATTTTTTTCCTGAGGGGGTAAAAACTGAATATAAGTAAGTCTACCAAAAGGAAGAAATGCAAAAATCTATTAATTTTTCTTCTTATCCCCATAATAAAGGAAAAAATAGAAGGAGAGGGCTGACTAGATAGTGTCTAGGGTCTCTTCTAGCTCTAAAATTCAATTCAAGGAATGCACTTTTCCTCTTTACCCATTCCACAGGCAATGCCGGCTGGTCCTACATGTACAGGCATAATGAAAGGTCTGAAAGCCTAAGTTTTATAGTTTCATATTTTTTTATTCTAGGAACATACCATTTTATTTTTCTGAAACTAAATTGTTTGCTTTTTATGTACATGGCCGTAAGTGGTTTGTCGTTTTTCGTTTTTTTTTTTGAGTGGGCCAGGAACCTCAACATTCCTAGTTCAGACAGATTAATTCAGTTACCTTTTAGCCATTCAAATGAATCTGATATAGTCCTTTGTGTAACACTACAAACAGGTAGTGCTTACTATGTGTCAGGCATTCCTCTGAGTGTATATATTCATTCTGAATCGAAAAATTTTAATCTAAGAAATTATAAGATTCAGAATATTAACAGTACACTTAAGGTCTTCTGCTCACACTATCAGATACAGTATTACTTTATCTTTGTTAAGCTTGAAGTTTTGGAAGGCTTATTTTAAAATTTTTTTATTTTTTAATTTTTCTGTAGAGACAGGGTTCTGTGTTGCCCAGGCTGGTCTGAAACTCCTGGCCTCAAGTGATCCTCCCGCCTTGGCCTCCCAAAGTGCTAGGATTATAGGCATGAGTCACCACTCCTGGTCTTATTTTTTTTTTTAAATAAAATATACACATAGAATTCCCCTTTTAAGGGAATACAATTATAAATTTCCAATTCTCTAGAAAAAGATTAACAAACAGCTCATATTAACACTGATTTGCTATATACAGAAATAATCCTGACTTATTTTAACTCTTAAATCAAATGAGACTATTATTCTAGGTCTGAGATCTACAGTAAGTAAAATATTTAAATCACAAAGTTCTCACCAAGCAAACCATGAGGAAAACTACTTTGTAAATCCCCAAACATGGCTATAACCAGCATTTAGAGAAAAACATTAATTCCACCAAGCACATATTCTTGACTACCACTGTTATGAGACCAGCAAAAGATCCTTTCAAATTATCACCAATTTATATAGAACGTACATTTAAGTTCGTATTGGTTTTTAAACAGAACACACTATTTTTTAAAGGGATTTAATTATAGAGCTCATTAAAATAGAATACCACCTTTATTTTTAGCAGCTAAAATTTCTAAACCTAAAATCCAACAAGTCTAACATCCTAAAATCCTTTTCTTATTCAAGATACCATATCACAAGACTTATAATGTCTTGAAAATATATATGGAACTTTTATTATCTTTCCAGGATCTGAAACTAGTACCTCTCTTTTAATATTACTATGATAATTTAGTTATACAGCCCTGAATAGAAATTTATTCCAAGGTCATAAAAGTAGTAATTACAGAACTACTTCTAAAGAGATACTACAGTATCTAAGTTTAACAGCTAAGCTAAACTAGAATATTTTTATAATATAGATAGCTTAGAATCCTTAATTAAAATATTTTTATTCATCAGAATGGGCTTTACAACATTTTTCTTTGCAACCTTATTTGAATTTTTTAGTCCCCCTCATAATATCCAGTTACCATCTTCCAGTCTCCATGTTGTAGATCCATAGTTCTTCTCTAGGCAGATAAAAGTCATATAATCCTCTGACTTGATTACTCTAAGAAGAATAAAATTGTAAATATTAAAAATAATTGATATTTTAAAGAGGCACTTTTTCCTATTTATTAATTAGGAAGTTGCTAGTTATGAAAAGTTAAATAGGTCTTACAATTAAATGCATGATCCTCCCTGACCCATGCCACACACTCAAGATAAAGCTTAATATAGACAGCTCTGAATTAAAATTTTTGACACAACAGTTGTCAATAGTGCAAGAAGTTAAGAGGTCTCCAGGAAATCTCTAAGACTACTTTGTCCGGAACAGATCATGTACCAAATTTCAGTTGCATGACTTCAGGAGAGATTGCCTGTGCCATGGTCACCAGACTACTGAAAGTGCCTGACCCACACTAACATATGATGTATGGCTTTCTAGCCAAGCTTTCCTTTCACTCATTCTCTAAGAAGCAAGAGAGAGGGCAGAACTGCAAATTTGCATATATTAAGTCCTTATACAAAATTTTAAGTTCCTTGTTCTGCTCCATTTCCTCTCAGGTATTAATTCCTAACAAATAGACTGAGCTTACCAGAGCTGAGTGCTGCTGTCCATGGATTGCTTTATTTAATCCTCACAACCACCCTAAAAAGTAGTTGCTATCATGAGAAAATGGATTTTTTAGAGAGGTTAAGTAATTTGCCAAGGTTACTTAGCAAGTAATGTAGAGCCAGCATTCCATCCTTTCCCTGAACTTTGCCAAGTGCCTGGCATTTCCAGACTTTGATCCTCTCTGGCCACTTTCTGAACAATTTCAACACACAGTAGTAAACAACTGCAGTTCACTGAAAATGGTGTCAAGAGTCTAATAAGCCTGAGCATTAAACATACAGAAATAAAGCAGTCGGCCACGTAAACATTTCTCTTTCCACTCCACCACAGATGAAGGGAAAGCTGGAAGCGAGACAGTGAGCTGACATGGAGGTGACCAGCCAAGCCTGGGTGGGGGAAAACTGACTACTATGTAGGAAGCTAAGGTTTATTGCCTTTGAAACAATCTCCAGGGGCTTCTGTGCCCACTCTCAGGCTTCCAGACATAAATGGGGAGAATAGCCTGTTTGGGAACCACCCAATTCAGTGATCGTGCTGCTCCAACCTGCCACGGCCCCAGGACCTTATAAACCCACCATCAGAAATCTTCACCCTGGCAACCCTCCCCACCCAGAAAGAAGAAAAGTCCCATTCCCCAAATGTTGCTGATTTTTACAAATAGAATTATGTTTTTTTGGGTTTTTTTTTTTTTTTTTTTTTGAGACAGAGTCTCACTTTGTTGCCTGGGCTAGAGTGCAGTGGCGCCAGCCTAGCTCACAGCAACCTCCAACTCCTGGACTCAAGCGATCCTCCTGCCTCAGCCTCCCAAGTAGCTGGGACTACAGGCATGCACTACCATGCCTGGCTAATCTTTTCTATATATTTTTAGTTGTCCAGCTAATTTCTTTCTATTTTTAGTAGAGACGGCATCTCGCTCTTGCTCAGGCTGGTCTCGAACTCCCGACCTCAAGCGATCCTCCCACCTCAGCCTCCCAGAGTGCTAGGATTACAGGCGTGAGCCACCACCCCCGGCCTACAAATAGAATTATGAATAAAGTAGTTTAGACTGAAGTGTGATTGACCAACAGGGTTGCTTTTCCCTAGGGCAATTATTCACATTTTAATATGGGTCCCTACATAACTGTCCCCTCCCTCCTTGCAGTTCCATGTCCCTACCAAGTACTCTCCAAACACCTATTCATTGGAGGCTAGGGAAAACATTGTAGATAGAAGGTATCAGGACAGCTGTCTTTGAGAGCTATCTCAAACATGGTCAGCTTTGATCGGGTCAGCTGTACCATAAGCTAAAACCGGTTATCAGAGTCACGAAGCAAGTCACCGGCATAGCGAACTAAATTTCAAGCAATTGGGGAGGCGGAGAACATTTTTAAGATCAAAGGGGAATAAAGCAAGCATTTTGTGGTAGGAATGGATCGGAGCCATCCCAGCAAATGGAAAAAGATAATTCTAGAATGTAGAGTGTTATTGGGAAACTCTAAAAGCAAAAGGGTAGGAGAACTAATGAGCAAGGTTTTAAATAGGAGACACCTGGGGTGGACTCTCCAGCTAGGATTAAGGAAGAAATGCAACTGGCTGTGAACTGGTAACTAATCACTTTGTTTACGATCGGTGGTGGGGCGGGGAACAGTTGCACTCTGTAGTTACGTTTGTTGCTGGGGATTTTTTTGGCTACTGGGGGAGATTTTCTGTTAATTTTTTAAATAGGCGTTTCTTCTGAAAAACTTCCAACTCTTTCTCAGCTGAAACCAGAAGGAAAATAGCCCTGAAATGTTCAAACAGCGTGATGCACATCTGTACAGGTGTAGCTGGGACTGCTGCACAGGCGGTAATACTGAATCAGGTGATTCCTGAGGCCCTCCGGAATTCCAGGGGTTTTTCCTACACCTCGGCCACCCCATAAGCGGGGAACAGTCTCGGTGAGCCAGTTGGCCCCGGCTCCAGATAGCAAAGTCCTCCTAGGTAGTTCCGATAAAGGGTCTGAGCGATACCACACACCGTCGCCTCTCTTACTCCCAACCCTTTCAAATAAAACCGGTGTCGTCGTCATGCACCGCCCACCAACCTTAACAGGGCCTTCCCCAGAATAACGCTCCCAGGGCAACCAGGGGGTGGGGGAGCGGGCTTTGTAAGCAGAAGGTTGGCGTGACAACAGCCCTGGAGGCTTGACACGCGTGGGAGGACTCGAGAGGAGACTCCCGCCCGCAAGCAAACAAACCAACGGGCAGGGCAGAGTCCGAGGGAGAGGAGCGCCCTCAGAGGCCCCCTCTGACCTCTCCGCCTGCCCGCGACCTGCACCCGGGTAACAGCCGAGCGACGCCGGCCGCGGCTCGGCCAGCCACTGACCTTGTAGCCGCCCCAGACGAACATGTGGCGCCCGTCGCTGACGGCTACGTGGCCGCTGCGCTCCGCGGGGCAGGCGAGCTCCATGGACTCGTAGCTCTCGAAGGCCGGCCCCGGCAAGTCGTCCGCCCGCAGATCCTCGTTGCCATCAGCCATCTTTGAGGCTACACTTCAGCTCACGAGGAATGCCCACACCCGCGAGGGGAGAAAGAGACAAAGAAGAAAGAAGAAATGCACAGCGGCGCCAGGCAAGGAGAAGGCGGCAGCGGCGAGACGGACGGCGTTGAGGCCTCCCTGCCGCCTGCGTTCACGTTGCTCGGCCCTCCTCGGCCGAGGACGGCTCTCCGCCGCCGGGACGCGCCTGCGGGCAGCGGAGCAGTGAGGGCGGCGGGGGCCCAGGACCCGGAGCACGCCGGGCACGGAGACCGCCTCGGGCCCGCTGCCTCTCACAGCCCGCGCGCCCCGCCTCCAGCAGCTCACGGCCCGTGTTTACGCCGCGGCCGGAAGCCGCCCGCTCCGCTGGCGCCGCCCGCCGAGCTCCGGAAGCGCGGCCGCCGCTCAGCGCCCCCAGCGCCGGGTCCTCCCGCCGCCGTCCGCTGCTCAGCCCACGGCCCGGCCCGGGAGCGCCGTGCGCCCGCACGAGCTCCAGACACGCCCCAGCCTCCTTTCACGGAGGAAACTGCAGGGATGGTTCCCTGAATCGTTCCCTGCAGACTGCTGAATTTTAGCCAGATTCTCGCAAGATTTTTTTTTTTCCTCCTGAAAATTTCTCCTTGTTTGAGGCATGTTCTCAAAGCGTTCAACAGCCTGGACAGGGCGGGTACCCAAATTGCTCAACTAGTAGGTTTCTAGCCTCGGCTTCTCAGAGACGGAGTAAATACCCTGCTGTCCCCTGGGCACGAGGGATGGCGCCTCGGGTCTCCTGCGTGATCTGGCCCGGGTTCCCGCGGTTTCCCTGGGAGAGGACCCCGTCCCGCCGAGCCCTTCCTGTAACCTCCGCTGGCCGCACGCCGCTTCAGCGAGGTCTGCTTTTACTGCTGCAGCCCGCCAGTTTGCAGGATTGTGTTAAGCGTTTCAGAAACCGTTAGTAACTGCCCAGCCCTTCAGAGAGGAAGGCGAAGCCCCTTTTCGCACTGTTCCTCCTATCTTTTATACGATGCATTTCAATTAGGCCAAAAGAAAATTACGAATTATTGTAATTTAAACTTGATTGCTCACCTGTAAAATAGGATTGGGCTAGAATACACCTTAAACTCCTAATGGTGCCTCTACAATTTGCTGTGTTTGGTGGGAGGGGTGTGCTGCATTATTCTCTTTTCCTCATCTTCATTCTGGGACCACTACATAGAAGAGGAATACTTTGAACAACAAAGTCTTTTTTCACCAAAATTTTCATAGCTTGAAACTCCTTCCCTAGCTGCTTCCAGTATGTTTACCTGAACTCAGAGAAAAGAGTTACTTAAGAGGATTAACTTATGCCTCTAACAAGGAAACAAGTCACCTGGTAGCTGTTGAGACTTTATTTGCTATCCACCCTGCTGGGCGCCCCAAGCGTGTCTGACTCACCAGGATTTCTTGCAGTACTGTGCCCTCCTGGTGTAATGGATTTATGCTCAGTAGAACTTGGAGTCATCCAAGTTCATTGTGAACCAGCTATGTAAATCTGATTGGGTCACTTTACTTAAAAATCTTGAGATAGAGTTCAAAATTCTTATAGTGCTGTACAAGACCCAGCATGGCCCGAGCCCCAGCTTACCTTTCCAGCTTCAGTTCCTGGCTGTCTCTTCCTCCTTCCAGCTGTTAGCATTCTCTCAGTTCTTCAAACACAGCTAGCACTTTTTAGCACCAGGGCCTCCTCACTTGCTGTCAGACTGCCTACAAGTCTAACTCCTCCTTTACCTCTCAAGCTAGTTGGAACTTCCTCAGGGAAACTTATCCAGACCACTTTTAGGTTCCCAGTCAGACACTGTTAGCATCCTCAGTACTTCTCCATCGCACTTTATTAAAACCATCATGTAATTACTTATCTATTGTTAGTTTTCTCTGCTAGATTCTAAATTTGAAGTAGGAGCTTAACTTCAGTGGTGGCTTGACCCAAGTTGCAAAACTACCTCCTGTCAAAGATATTATTTTTCCTCTGGATAAAGCTAATTAACTAGCACAGTTGCCTCAATTACGAGGTGATTCTTGGATGAACTATGTGTGACCAATGGTGCTGTCAAGTCCTCTTACTTTAGGACTAGTTATTGTTTATCTTTTGAGAATATGTATGTAATGGGCTGTAACTGCTGGGCTATATAAAAAGGGGAGATTTCTTTGCAATCTCTTAACAGATTGCCTGTGATGTACAACATCACGTTCTGGTTTAATGGTTACTCAACAAATAAAACTTATTTCTCTGCTGCATTTGTGGAGAGGTTTTCTGGGTTGGGAGAAGATTTTGTATTTAGTTCTATTTCCCCAGTAGGGGCACTCAGAATATATTTGTCAGAGGTATGAATGGGTTGCCATGGTAATGA